TTTTGAACTGAGTAAATTAAAACTCTTTTTAAATAAATTATCCTACTGATGTTGTATAATTTATTTCTTCCACCGAGGGGGGTGTGTCATACCGCTACTGCAGTAGCAGTATTTATATAGGTATGTACAGCTAACCTTTGGTGCTCAATCATTATTTTATGGCATGCTCAAGGTCATACGTAAGTGATGACACTGAGATTAAGCGAGAGATCAGAGTTCTTAACAATGATCTATCTCTCAGTACAACACCAAAACAAAAGAAACAGAAAACCTAAATTCAATATCCAAAATACAGTATTGAATTACAACTTGTTTTCAATCGATATCGCAAGGCATATCACAGCGTTGAATGTAAAATGCTCGATTCTGATTGGCTGAAAATTCGCAACTTAGAACCAAGTTAACATCCTCCCCCCTAAACGTGTTTAGGGGGGAGGATGTTAACTTTATTAAGATCATTAAGATCATTTATCCACGAGGGATAGGACCAACATACGAGCTGTACAGCTCATCACGGCGAACCGCTGTTGTGCCCCTGCTTAAGAACTACATGCAATTTTTTTGGTTATTTTTCCGGGCTGGGTAGTGTTGCTTAAACTTGGTCCCATTTAAGTTCGCTCTCTTGACAGTTCAAAAACAGTTTTGAAATGTTGGTCGAATTGTCAACTCTGTTTCACAATCTAAAGGGCAGAATTTTTAAAATAAATTTAAAACGTTGTCCAATATTTTGTTAACAATTCGTTCTATTTTTTTTCTGTTGCAATTTCAACGCTTTAAAACAACAATTCTTAACCAACAAATTGTGACTGATGCCAAATTGTTGGCATTATCTGTGACCTTGGGAGTTTAATCGGTCAGAAACCATAGTATTCTAAGTTAAACAGCTTTTACGTGTGGAAATCAGTGCTGAGAAAAAATTTCACGTCAAAATGAGCAATTTGAGGTCAATTAACAGTCCAAATTCGTTGACCGAAACTATATAAACAACAACATTGCATAGTTTCAAAATTATGAAAAAGGCTGTGAAGCCTACAACTTCGAAACAATTTCATTCCTTAATAATTTTAGCGTGAAGATTAGAGTTGTTTTAAAATCTTAGACGTTGTCCAATACATTTATAATAAGCTAAATGGTTAGAGCCAAATTATTGGCAAAATCGGTGATCTTGAGCAATTAAAGCGGTCAAATGTTAGTGCAATTTTGATTAATTATTCTATGTCTTTAGGTGGAAAAAATCAAAGATGAACTGAAATCTAAGTCAAAATGAGCAGTGTTTTTCAATATTTTGTTCAGAATTGCTGATTAAAAAGGATGATGCCAGCGATTTGGCATTTACTATAAAACTGAACTCGCAAAGTTTTTCTCTATAAGCAAATTTAAAACTCAACGTAGAAAATGGAAACGTCCTAGGTTGAACAAAACTTCTTGTTCCTGAAAAAAGTTGAACAATACTGATTGAAGCTTTGATAAAAAATGTCGATCTAGTGATTTTAATTAAAAAATGATTTCCAATACTTTTCAGAGATATTTAAGTGCGTTTTGACTTCAATACATATGGAATTTCTGTTCTTTACGCAGTCTACCTATCACTCACGAAATCACTTAATCTATATTTTTTGTTTGGATAATTTTAACCTGTGCAAACGATTACTCCAAGAAAAGTTTTAGAACTTCATAGTTTTTTTCGTCTCAACAAACTTAAAGAGATATTTACCTTTGAAATTAGCAAGGGAATTGCAACCGGGTACTGATTTTTTTGCCATAAACCACCTTCTTTATAGTACTTATCTTAACAAATCTCCTGCTGTTACCTTGACGCAAAAAGAATTCAATTTTCATAGCTTCTCCGGCCTCACTTAGCTTCGAACCTGACCAGGACTTGTTTTTTTATCAAACGGGAAAAATTCTGCTTCAAATATAAGTGACGGCCTTTTATCTGTTGTCTAATGTTTTGTCAGTTGAGTTTAAGTTGAGTTTAATTTGTTTTTTTTTGCTCTGCGCATTATTTTAGTGTATTTATTTTCAGTATTTTATTTTACTCCTGTAAATGGTAATTTTACAAGAATTTTTTGTGTACATTTTTGTTCTGCTTAAAATCTTTATTCGGGCAAAGTAATTGTTTATGCAACTGTGAAACAGTTTAAAAGTTTAGTCACCAAATTTTAGGTAATTTCATGGCACACAATAATTTTTCATTTTACTCATTCAAGGAATTTTTTTTTTCGAAATTTCAATGATCAATGAAAAACAAATCCTGGTCGATAAATTCCGTGAAGAAAAATAAGTAATTAACCCCGTTTCGACTGATCTAGCTATATGAAAAAAAGATATACGAATTTAAAGATAAAAACAAGGGGGAGTTTCAAAACACTATGAACACTCCATTTCTTCAAATTTTTCTTTGCTGCACAGAATTTCCCCACCACAGTTCTACCCTTGCGATACCAAGGGTGTGGCAATCGGGTGATAGACACTTTTACCGTAAGCAACTTTGTCTGTAGAGTTCAGCATGCATGCAGTACGCGACATGCATGCAGTTAGTGCGTCGTATATTTGCTCTTATTGGTCTATTACTCTCACTGTGCATCCATATTAGTTTTTCCAATAAATTCGCAGTTCAAATTTTAAAAAATGATAATTCTTTGTAATTTTTGGAATTCTCAACTTTGTCGCTTTCGGTTTGCTTTTTGTCGGCTTGGTTTCCGCTTTGTTTTTATCATCCAACTAAATCGTTTCTTTGAATTTAAGTTTTTTTACATTACGGTTGCTTTACATGTTCTTATTCACTTCTGGTGTTTGTTTGTAATTTTTAAACATTGACATCGTAAATCTTTTTTTTGGTTAAAAACTTTATTCTGCTCGCATGATTTCGGCCTATATTTTATCAGCTTATCGCCGTCATATTGCGTCCTTGGACAAGCGAAAAAAGTGCGTGTGTGTGTGTGTGTGGTGCGTGTGTGTGTGTTTTGAGGGCGAGGGAGCTTAATAACGTCTTATTGGTCTTAATTTTTTTTCAATGTTTTCTTTTATTTTCATTTTGTTCGGTCTATTAGGTTTTGGGCTATATTATAAAGGTTTAATTGTTTTTTACTTGTTTCGTTTCAAATAATGTGTTTGAATGTGTTTTAATAATGAGAATGTGTTTTAATAATGTGTTTTGATAATGAGAACGAGGAGGACTTTTCCTAAATCTTAAATCTTGTTGACTTTTTCAGCCTAAAAAAATTCAGCCTAAAAAAAAAAGGTATTGTTACCACTTAGTAAACTAATTTACGATAATACATTCACATTCTATTGTCTCGGCTTGTTTTTATTTCAAAAAAAGTCATATTCATTATGATAGGTCTTTTCTAAAAAACAGTCAAAAAAGCCGTTTTTGGGCACTTTTTGAAAAATTTTGACAAAAAAATCGCGTTTTCTTTGGCGCGCGCTCCCCCTCAAAGTTAGTATATATTGGCGCCAAAGGCGCCTTTAGAAAAATTTTAGGGTCGGTCCGCCAAAAATGGATTTCTGAAAAAGTATCAAAGGGGGGACCCTTTGGGTCGGCAGGGGGTCGAATCCCTGAAGGGGGGGGGGGGAGGCGTCCGCCCCCCCGCCCCCCCCCCCTAAATCCGCCCCTGAGTATAGCACAGAATGTTCCGACCAAAAAAATACAACAAAAGTTTTTTTTTCATATAGAATTTCGTTTTAATTAAAATTTTTCATGATTTCGTTTTTTTTTCTGCGTGAATGAAGTGATACAAGTGATCTAATTTTCTTTACAAAAAAATGATAGCTTAGTCAAATTCGACAGTTTTATTGTCAAAAAAATTGATCAAAAAATTTTTCAGAAAATTTTTAGAAAAACAAAAAAACTAATATTTCTTGAGCTAAAATTTTTTGATTTCTTGAAAAGTTTGATTAGCTAAAGGCGTTTCAAAAACTTCAAAAGCTAGTTTTACCATAATAAAACTATAATCAAGTACAAACAAGCTACTGCAAACATCTTTAATTTAGCATAAATAAGCCTGCTCGCGCGCTTTATTCGCTTGAAATTAGATCGAAATTAGATCAAAAGTTTCATGTGAGTTTTTCTCGATACCGAGAAACTTTTTTATTTGCTCGAATCACGACTGAATGAGTTTTACTTTCATATATCACTCGACCCATTCCGATGATTATTTGTTGCACCTGATTTTGCGTGGAAAACAAAAAAAAAGAAAGAACTAAAACGCACCCGAATACAAAGGCCTTTTTTGAAAAGCTTAGACCTTAAAACTGCGTTCAAAACTCCCCCTTCGGTTACGATATATTGATGCCAAAGGCGCCTTTAGAAAAATTTCAGGCTCGAATAGCCAAAAATGGCTTTATTAAAATAGTGCCAAAGGGGGGATCAGGGATCATTTGGGAGAATAATGGGTCGAGTCGTTGAGTGAAAGGGGCATCCACCGCTACCGACCCCATTCCACTAGATCCGCTACTGGTTGCAGAGAATACGTGACGGAAAACAAAAGTGGCAAAATTTTTGCCTTCTGACTAGTTTGACATCAACCTGCCACTATTACTTCAATTTTCTTTTCAGCTGGCTAAAGAATTCCCTTTATATTTGAATTTTTTAGTAGCAACAAATTGAAGAATCGAATTGAGATAAAAATTGTGATGCCATAATTCCTGTCATAAAATATTTGATCTTTCCTTTCCTATTATAGCCCCAACCCCCCCCCCCCCCCCCCCCCCCCATAGAAAATAGCCCCTTTATAAAAAACGGCCAAAAAACGCCCCCCATCAAAATTAGTGTTTATTGGTGCCATATGCGCCTTTAGAAAAATTTTAGTGTCTGCCAGCCAAGATTGGATTTCCTAAAATACTGCCAAAGGTGGGACCCATTGGGTCGGCAGTGGGTCGAATTCCTAAAGAAGGGCGACCCCCTCAAATCCGCCCCTGCTTGGGTGGCTATAATGGGACAGAATCGATGAATAATTTTAAGTTTCCATTTTAGTGAAACAGTTTCTCTCTTTCAGGGTATGGTGACGTGTACCCGAAGAGTCTCTACGGGAAGATAGTGGGGGCTCTGTGTTGCATCTGTGGAGTGCTGGTCATTGCACTCCCCATCCCTATCATCGTCAACAACTTCAGTGAATTCTACCGGGAACAGGTCACAAAACACTTTAAATTACTAACATTGGTAATGTAAACAGGCCGAAGTGTAAAATCAGCTACCACATAAACCAACCAAAAATTTCGGAGTTGTTATATAATAATGATGTAACAGTTGAGTAATAGTTTTAATAGCGTAATAGTCGCAACTTCAGCATATATGACGCAACTGTTTCTCATGTTTTATATATTCACCCGCATCCAAGTTTAGCGTAGGTAATCGATTATAAAGGATTATTATGATGATTTTTTGACAATTACAATTGATTATAATTACCAAAATTAGGTGTTCAAAGTATTTATAATTGATTATAATCGTGATATTTTCCAAGGGATTATAATCTCTTATAATCGATTATATTTGATTATAGTTCTTACAAAAAACCCTTAAAATCAACTATAATCGATTATAATCGATTATAATCTCTTATATTGCAAAATTTTGTCAATTCAAAACTATATTCGAATAATATTTTGTGGTTGTTATATTTATGTCAATAAGAAACTCTCTAAAAGAGAGATCTCTTAAACACTTGGGTTCATCTGAACACAAAGTTTTACCACGAAACAAAAGTTTCATAGAGATCCTTTCATATTAGTGGAAAGGTTCCCGCGGTAGATGAAAAATAGATCTTCCGAATCAATCATGAAACTGAATGAATCTTGCTGATGTTTTGGTGGTTAAAAAAGCCTAAAATATGCATCACAAAACAACTTTATTGGGGAAGAATTAAAAAAAAACATTGTAAATTTGAATTGATTGGAAAACTTTAGAAACAATTTTCTCATTTTTCATAGGAACCAACGTCTACAAAAAGCATAAAGTATAAACAATTTAGAGGCAACTTCGAAGACAAAATGGACAAACAAAAAGTGTTATTATCAATTAAAATCGATTATAATGAATTTTTGTGCAAAACTAATGAATTAGAATTTTGAATAAAAATAATGGATTATAATCAATTATAATTGATTATAGTTGTCTCGAAAAATAAGCGAAAAAATAAACGATTATAATCGATTATAATGGACTATAATTAACTATAATTTGATTTTAAAAAGAGAGATTATAATCGATTATTAAATGATTAAAATTGATTGTTTCTCAATTTTAGTAAGACTGGTACTAAAATCGTAATATAATCGATTATTAACGCTTGAAACTGGATGCGGGCAGTTCATTTCCGGCTGTTTTATAATTCGGCAGGTTTAGTCACACTCATATTTAACACTCATACATCATTTTACATAATCATAGTAGTCATAATAAATGAGGAACTTTTTTCTGTTGTGTTTTAGTTTTTTTAAACTTTTTTATGACTCTCAAATATGCCTGAGTTCTATTTTTCGTTCAGATTTTTTTTTATCAAACCATGCAAAAAAAACGACACCAATTTGAGAAGACATTATCGTATTTTTTTCAATACTGTGGTCGGAACATCTTGAGCTATTTGCACAGTAACCAGCCATCCTTGTATTCTTTTTCTTTTGTTTCCACGGAAAATCAGCTAACAAAAATAATCATTGGAGCTAGTTGAGTCAGCTATCATGTTAAAACTCTTTCAATCGTGATTCGAACGAAATTAAAAATTTCCAAAAAATTTCCCACTGTCGAGAAAAACCGGATTAAAAGTTTGATTTCTGATCTAATTTTGAGCGAATTAAGCGAGTGAGCAGACTACATTTGCTTTTTTACCTTAAAAGCTCACAAAAGATTTATTTAAGCCGTAAATCTTTATTTTATTGGAGTAAATTCGTTTTTTGAACTTTTTAGCAACCTTTTGAAATCAAAAATTTAAAAAATTTAAAAAACATAAAAAAACTGGAATAAGAAGAAATACTTTTCGATTTGTTTTCGATATTCTAGTGATTTTTTTCCAAATTTGTTCAGATCATTTTATCACACGCAGAAAAAAAGACACTATTTTTTTAAAAATCTTTCTTGAATCTTTTAAGACTATGGTCGCGATATTTTGTGCTACTTGCACAGTAACCGACTATCCTCGTTGAAATTAAACTAGTTTGGATATAAATAAAAATATTTCCCCCACCTATGATTACTACTAAAGAATCTCCACCCCTATAAATAAATACAATAAATAATCAGAAGAGCTTGTTTTGAGGATTCAGAAAAAGTCTGCAATCTGATTGATCAAAAGTTTGACTGACTTAATCTACTTAACAAATTTCCCCCCTTTCTTGAAAAGGGGATTCTTAAGTAGATCAAATAATTTTCTACATAAACACAAAACCGACCAATTACAAAAGCCATATAATGTATTCGAAAAGGCTTTCAAAATCCTTAATGCTAAAAAATTTCTTCAATGATAAAAGGTTTGCAGTCTACCAAAAATCTTAAAAATCCTTGATGCTAAAAAAGCCTTAATGTTGAAAAAATAGCGATATGGACATCTTTTAAAACATTGGCTGAAATAAAACCTTAACATATTAAAAACATTTTTGGTTGAAAAACTTGAGATGAAAAAAAATCTGCGAGTAGGTACCGTATGTTCAGTCGTTCTTGTGAACTTGCATGTCGTCGTTTAATCGCGAATTTGTCATCAGGCCCTTGTTTAGTTGTCATATAAAAGTTTGCAGGCTTGTTATGCTTTAAAATCAGCTTGGCTGCAAATAAATATACAAAATCTTGTCTGTTTTTTTTTCAGAAGCGGCGTGAAAAAGCTGCCAAGAGGCGGGCTGTGATGGAGAAGGCTAAGAAGGATGGGAGTCTGCAGAGTATCAATTGGGATGCAAATTCAAAAACAGACACATTCCTAGACGCTATTCTAGAAACAGCCGGACTCTGTAAGAAGTCATTATTTTGTGTAATTATTGATCGAATGTCTCTATGAAACTTCCGCAAGAGTTTACGAAAAATAAGGAACAAAATTTCATACTAGAGGGTATTTTTTGAAAATTTTTTGCCAGAAAATTGGGTTTTCAATTTTACTGTGCATTGGCACCGAAGTTAATCTTGGCTGACCCAAAATGGATGTCCTAAAATAGTACCAAAGGGGGACCCTTTGGGTGATTAGGTGGTTGAGCCCCATCGATTTTATGACTGCAGCTGTTTTTGAGATTAATTTAATTTTTTTTCAGCGGAAGCGGCAAAGGAGAGGCTGAAAATTAGACGAACAAGTAAGTTTTGGAGAGCTCTATTGGTAATGTTTTTCTAAGTTAAGCATTCAGAGGTTGACTATTTAAGTATAGATATAAAAATATCTACCTCATTGGTTAAATATCTAAGCACAATCAAGTTCTGACAAGAAAACGCCTTGCCAAATCATGAAAAATTACCTTTCAATTTAGTTCCATTCATTTTCTGTTAACTGCGGAAAAGTTCGGCCGAATACTCCAAAATGAAAATTATATCAATTTTTAAACTTAATAAATTGAGTTTAATAATAAAATACAGATGATCAGGCGCGGATCTAGGAATTTCTCGAGGGGGGTGGGGGCGGATTTTCATTAAAAAAATTGAAAATTTTGACTACCTTTTTTTTAGGTCGACCAAAGTGAACACTCCCAAACCAATATAGAGACCCTAATTAGACAAAATTTTCTGCGTCGCGGGCAAACTTTTGAAAAAAGGGGCAAAAAGGCATTTTTTCGAGAAAAACAAAATTGTGTTTTTTTCAACGCCCACCCCCCCTCAAAATCAGTATAGCTTTTTAAGGGCAATCAGCCAAAAATTGATATCTCAAAACGGTACAAAGGGGGTATCCTTTGGGTCGGCAGGGGGTCAAGTCCCAGAGGGGGGTGTCTGCCCCCCCCCCCTAAATCCGCTACTGCAGATGATACAAATGTTTAAATCAATATCCAACTATAGGCTGAAATATGGTTTGATGTTGACGATCTTGTTTTCAGCAAGTGCCAGATCCACTCGCAGCTGCCTCACTCCGAGGAGTAACAGCCTGAAGAACCTCCTTCTGAGGAGAGGAAGCACCTCCCTCCGGGGTCACAGCGACTTGAACCTACAGCGAGTCGGAAGGTTATATCATATAACTAAAAGAAAAGAAATAAATTCATTATAAGTTTCAATGAAACCAGGTAAAATAAATTAAACAATATAAAATAACATAAAACAATGTAAATAGCAAAACAACTTAAATTAACAGAAAACAAAATAACAAAACTAAAATAACATTCGGTCTCTTCGATAACGATTTTGATTACAGTGCACAATTTGAAAAAAAAGAGGGATAAAGTTAACAACCTCCCCCCAATAGACCAAGTTAAGATACTCCACCCCAGCGTTCATTTTAATTTAAATCTACTTAGCGCTGCATGTAAAATGCTCTATTCTGATTGGCTGATGAAAATTTGAGCTCAGAACCAAGTTAACATCCTCCCGCCTAAACGGATTTGGATTTGGGAGGGGGGGGGGGGGGGGGGGGGGGAGAGGATGTTAACTTGGTCCAAAAAGAGTCTTTCCGTCCCCAATTTGAAGCTGACTTTTGAATCTGCGGCCGAATGAAGCGCAACTTAAATAATAGTTAGAAATAGTTGCTAGTTGTTTCAAATTTCCGTTATTTTCTACAAGTTATAAAACATTTGATAAAAATTATGAAAAGCAAAACATTCAAACTGATTTTTTTGTCGCCATGATTTGTTTCAAGTTTTGGCTCTACAGTAAGTTTTAGCTCTAAAATTTGCATCCACAGTGAAAAAAAAAGAAAGAGGAAGATGGCAAAAAAATATATACCTATTTTTTATATATTTTTTTTAAGTTGATTTATTTAGTTATTTTTTAGATAACTAATTTAACATATAAAATGAACTTACTTGAAAATACTTTTTAAGCAAACTACTTTTCTAAAGCTAATTCATTTTAACTAATTTAACATATAAAATGAACTTACTTGAAATTAATTTTTAAGCGAACTACTTTTCTAAATCTAATTCATTTTTGGCTGGTTTCAGGTCCTCAGAGTGGGGAAGATCTGGCTCTGACTCTGGATGCAGCCGACAGAGTTTCGGCTCATTCGTCAGCCAGTCGAGCATCACCAACTCACAGTCTGGAGATCTAGTGGCTATCAACAAAACACACAAAGCTATAGGTCTGTGGGCACTATTTTAAACTAGTTTTAAACATTAAACAACGAGTTAGTGTTAATGTTTTGGATCTTGTTAACTGACCCCCCCCCCCACCGCCCTATTGCAATAGGGGGAAAATAGTTAACAAGATCCAACGTCTTTTCTTTTTTATCGACTATAATTTTATTTAGCATCACGCGGACAAAACAATTTGGAAATAAAAATTGGAAATTGGAAATTTACGCGAACAAAATTGAATTTACTCAGAAGTTTAGATTCAATTGAAAAGATGACAAAAAAACCCAATCGAAACTGCTTACAACTGTCTAAACGCAGATCATAAAAAATCGAAACTGCGCGAATTTATCAAAAAAGGAAATATCCATTTAAAAATATATTCAGGGTTCCTCCGCTTTTAAAATAAAATTTATTTATAAGAAAGTTCTCTGGTCATCTCAGCAAAAGGTTTCACATGAAAATGAGTGTTAAGAAATACAATGAAATATTTATATAAACAATTTGACGCCATAATTGAAATCACATTCTATTTTTATGACATTCAGGAAACAAATACAAATGTGACGTTCCAGGCGCAATGGGTTTGATTGCAACCCAATACGGCCCAGTCCACCTTCCCATGCCCCCCGGCGGAGGTCAACACCACTTTGACCCCTGTTCCTCTCTGGGGTCAGCGGGGGGATTCAACCCAGATGGGTCATCATCAGGTGCAGGGGGGGCTAGTGGAGTGCACTCAGGTGTGAGGAGGTCATTCTCAAATGAAGATCCTAATCTATCTTCGCCTTCGCATTTGCAACAATTAGTGGCTATGAGACAGGTCTGTAACATTTGACCGAGTTTGTTCACATACTATTGTAAAAACAGCTTTCGAAAAAATTGTCTTTTTGATTTGTTTTGAAGTTTTTTCACTTATCAAATATTTCAAGAATACTCAAAAACAATTTGATTGATTAAAACTTTTCAATAATTGATTATATAAAACTGTATGTAGATCTCAAAATATAATTTAAAGTTTTTTTTTCGTTTTTACTCGACTGCCTTCAAAGCTGATTCATTTCAAATCATGAATAAGTAATTAATATGCTTTAAAAGCTTAATATAATCTGCAGGCTTGTCATACTATAAGCTGCAGATATATAAAAAAAAACAGGCACGATGCTTTTGTTTAAAATGTGAGAATTAATTTTCTTATTTGTGGAAAACTTGTTTCAGAAAGCATTATTGTTCCGACCAATTGAAAAATGGGAAGGAACTTTGTATTCGGGTGTGTTTTAGTTTTTTTCTTCTTGTTTTCCATAAATAACCCAGGGACCACAAATAATCATCGGACTGGGTTGAGTGATATATCATATTGAAGCCCTTTCAGTCGTGATTTGAACGACATAGAAAATTTTGAATTTTTTTTTCACAGTATCGAGAAAAACCGGTTTGAAATTTTTGATTTTTGTTCTGCAGATATAAGTGACTGTATATGCGTACAATAGCTTATTGAAGCTTAATTTCAGCCTAGAAAACGTATATTTTAATTTTGTTCAAGTGAAAGTCGTTTCTTCTGGAGTTTTATTAGCGCAATTTTGGGAATTAAAAACTTGAAAATTCAAACAAATTTGCAAAAAAAATGTGGAATTTTTGAAACTTTTCCAAATTTTTATAAATTTTTTTTTTTCGTTTTTAATCATTTCTCTCCAAAATTTAATTTCCAAATAACCTATATTACTTTGAGTCTCAAATATGTCTAAATTTTATTTTTTCGTTCAGATTTCTTTATCACAACATGCCGAAAAAAACGACACGAATTTGTATTAAAAAAAACAACTTTTTTTTTGTATTTTTCTAAGACTGTGGTCGGACTGTGTTATTTGCAGAGTAACCGGCTTTCCTTGTTAGAACTTGGGTACACTTGATACGGCGTAAACTATAACTACGTTGTATATCCAATTGATAACTATGATTTGAATAACTACTCTTAATTATACTTGAACTTTCTTCTATTTATACCAACGTAATAATATTGAAAACAATTGTTTCGACGCACAAAAAACGACACTAGTTTGAAAAAAATAATAACATTTTTGGACAGTTGTTTTATGAATATGTGGTAGGGACATTTTGGGCTATTCTGAGCACAGAAATAGCGTCTATCCTTGTTGTTCCGACCATTTGAAGAAAAAAAAATTTATTATTTTTTAAAATTTTTCCAGTCATTTTTCTACGAAAACTTTTGCCCAATTAGCTTATTTTACTATGATTGTCCAATATGCCTAAATTATATTTCTACGTCAGATCTTTTTATTGCACCGAGCAGAAAAAACTTTGGAAAAAATTTCTAAACCGTAATTTTCTAAAGACGATGGTCGGAACTTTCAGTGCTACTTGCACAGTAACCGGCTATCCTTGTTTACAATCGAACTAGGTCGAATTGTTTCAGGAAAGTGACGGCGGTGGCGGTGGAGGTGCAGGGGGACCCTGTTCGAACCCAGCTGACCCCTGCAGTTTCCCCACCATCCCCCCTTCGGCTGTAATGAGACACAACTCCATCTCTAGTGAGGACTCCTGTCATGCAAGTCATGCTAGCATAGCGACCAGTGAGGCTGAATTCGGACAGGTCGAACACGACTTCTCAAGTGTCAACTACAGAAAACTCACGAAGGTAAAGTAATTTTTCGATCGCTTTTTTCTAAATTTTTTAACATATTTAAAAAAAAAAGGATATCAAATTTGGGATTTATAAATGTTATGCAAAACTGGGCACAAAGTTTCAAGTGCGCGGCTGATTGGTCAATTTCTCATCTGTCAAAACAATCAAAGCTCACTTTGACTTAAGAAAAACTTGCCATTCTAGGTCACTTCTTACCATTATAAAATTACCAACCAGTACATAACATTGTTCAATAAACTTGACTTTTCACAGTGAATTGAATTTGACTTTTTAGGTCACCCGCAAAGCACCGGGACCGCTTCTGTACACAATACACAGTGTAGACGCAGCCGACGATGAATTAAGCGAGAAGAGCAAAAGCGACACGGGGATAAATGACGGCAACAACTCAAATAGCAGACGCACTAGTTTGATCAACCTGAATAAGACCCCCTCGCCCAAGCACCCGAGTAGGAAGCACTCGACAGACGAAATAAGGGGAGGGTCGCCCCAAAGATCAAGGTGGGCTTAAAGTATATTAAACCCCCCCCCCCACCCACCCTACCGTTACACTTCATTTTTTGCTTTCGAACCACGTGACAGTATTATATTTTATGATTGCTTCTATATATATATATATATATATATATATATATATATATATATATATATATATATATATTTTGTTTGTTTTATATTGTGGTCTCAGTCAAGGAAAGCAAATATCATTTCATTAGTGTCATTTCGTGCTTAATTTAAATTATTTTTTTATTAAAAAATTGCTTGTGGAATGGATGATCTCTTAAGTGAATTCATAGTGGATGATCTCTTAAGACAATTTTCTTAAGTGAATTCTTGTTTTTTAGTCAACAGGGATGGACGAGGGGATCCTCTGGTCAAACAGGAGGTGCTGGGAGTGGAAGCAGAAAGTCTTCTTTCGACGAGGCTGTTGGTGGCGGCGGGTTCAGGAGACGAGGGGGAGGAGGAGGGTTGTGCGAGGTGGGGACATCTGGAACTAGTGGTGGTGGAAATACTGCAAGGGGCACAGAGCTAAATGGTTTGTTTGCATTAGAGAAAAAAAGTTTACCAGGAAGTCTGTTAGTTAAAGAAATCCCAAAAATAATTAAAAAGAAATCTCAAAAGTTTGTTCAAATTATAGATTCATGGTTAAGTATGCTATGATAAACCTCTATATTATGAAATCACCAGCGATATTTTATTACAACTTACTATTATAAATGTTGATAGTGAGCTCTTAAAAGTAATAAATAGGTTTAAAAAAATACTTTTCTAAATCAAAAAAAAAGTTTGATTAAATAGTTTCATTTTGTGTTCAGACCCGTCATTTGTCCATCAGCATTCATTACCTTCAGCCGTGTCCAAAATGGGGGTTGTTCCGTCGCACGAGCAGCAGAGTTTTGGGGGGAGTACAGCGACAGATAGCGGAGGGTCCGATCATGAGTTGGGCAGAGGGGGTGCTTTTGTTACTCCGGCAGGGACAAATAGACGGAGGTACAGACAGAGACTCGCGTTCGAGTCTTCGAGTTCTCAGGAAAGGGTTAGTAATTGTTATAACTTATACAAGCGGGTTATAGTTTTTGTAATTTATTACGATTCATGTTAGCAAGCATAACTCCCTCCCCTCCTTGTGAATTCTTAAATTGACATCGATCGGATTGACATCCAGACATCTAGCCATTACAAATTATATGATTCTATAATTAGTGGCGAATATTCACGGCTTATGGCACAAATGCTTGGTTGTTATTTTCAAAAAAAAATTCCATCTTTTGTTTGTTGATTGATTGATTTTGTTGTTTTTCAGCCTTTTATGCCACCACACCAGAAATTCTCATCGCCTTTATCTCAATCCAACAAACACTCAGCCCAATCACAATATCAACAACAACAACATCCTTCACAACAACCTCAAACCTCTGCCAACCCACTGGCTAAAAAGATCCTCTTAAGGAGACCCGACGATGTGCCCTTAGCTATTCTGTACAGAAGTGGCAGTGGGGAGGGGTGCACTAAAAGACTGAGTAATGTGAAAGGGTTGACGATAGATGTAACACGTAAGTTCACCTAGCCACTCAAATCAACAAGGATAGCCAGTTGATGTGCAAGTAGCACAGAAGTTTCCAACCACAAGGGTTTCAGAGAGAAAATTCACAAATAGAAAAAAAGTGTTCTAAAAAATGACAAAATTAAAAATCATAATAATCTTTTCCCCGAAATTTTGTTCTATTTTTTCAAGTTACAATTTTCTTAGTAAATCAAAATGAATTAGATTGAAAAATGCAGAAAAGAAAATAGTAAAAACTAAAATAACGTTAAAAATGCAGTAAGCTTAACTGGAAACTCAGCCTCTCTTTAGATTCGGAGGTCAGCCTCTCATCAAACTCAGCGTGAAAACCAAAAGTATTCAGATCAATTATTCTTGATTCTGAGAAAAATTTTCAATATCCGAATTATCGCCAATAGAGCCTAAGTTTGATACCGCACTTCACCCCTAACAAGTTTTTCAAAATGTAGCCAAAATTGTGGAAAAACCATACAAAGCACGAACAAACATTACGAGGCCAATTTGTGCACTGGATAGGCGCACAGTTTTCTATCTGGATGACCCTGGATTCCAGAGATAAGTTCTTAAGCTTGCTAAAATTTCGTTGGAACGATTCAAGAAAATGAAAGAACAAAAGAAGAACAAAGGGAGCGTCTTTGATGCGGATTCCGCTTACAATTCACAAAATGCATAGTTTGGCCTCGTAATGAACTTTTTGTTAAGAAAATAGCTACTATTACATAATTTTTTTTCTGCTCAATGAAATTTTTAAGTAAGTCGTGGCTTGCAACTAATATTTGGTACAGTCAATGGACAAAAAAGTTGAAACTTTTAATTTTTAATCAATGGAATGAACAAAATTTTTTTAAATGTTCCTATCATTTTCACTGCATTTGCTTGTATAAAATTTTCAATATTTGAATGATAAAATTACGCAAAAGTATACTCGGTGCAAATTTTAAGAAACAAATTTCTAAGACAAAAAAGACTTCAGCATTTTAGTAGAAACTTTTGAAAAGATCTTCTCGTGGTAATATATCGAAATAGATAGCAGGTCTGGGTTTATTTTGAAGTCAAAACATGCGTTGCTTTTTAATACATAATGTAATAAACACACTTTAAAGATTACTTCGAAAGAAACGTTTTTGCATAAAAGAAATTAAAATGTGAAATCTCAAAAATCTGCGAGCGGCTGAATACCGCTGCAAGACATTGTCAGACAGTTACCCATTTAACTGCTGCATCGGAAATATAATTTTATCTACATCATAGTGTTTCATTTTCATAATTGTGCTTTATCTAAACACATCTAAATCCATCTTAGTGATAAACAAAAGGAGCGTCTTTGATGCGGAATCCACTTACAATTCACAAAGTGCGCAGTTTGGCCTCGTAATGAATTTTTGTTAAGAAAATAGCTACTATTAAATAACACAAATAAGCTAAAAAACCAATTTTTGATCAATTTTTTCCAGTATTCTTGAGTGTTCAACCTTCTTTCTGAATTATCTGTCAGTTATGTGTTCGTTTTTTTCATTCAATTAATGAAGCCTTCGGGATAGCCTAGTTTCGCAGCCTTCGACGATTTCGTTTTCGGGTTTACAAAAAGACCTATTTGCCTGTTCATCAGAAACTCATGAGTACGCGGCTCAAAAATAAAATTCTCAAAACTGATCTGATAATAGCTACCTCAAAAATTCAATCCATCACTTATTTACTAATTGAAAACTAAAAACTGAAATTAATTACTTTTTAGATGTAAAAAATTTTCATCACAAAAAAACGACGCCGACGAACAATAACGGAAAACAACAAAATCTATAACTTAATTAAATTGTCTTGACTTCACGGGTTTTTTGGATCTAAAAAGGTTGATTTTCCGACCAAAAAAATAGTATTTTCAGAAAAAAAAAACGAATGTCTAATACGCATAACAACCGCTACATTTAACAAAAAGAATTGATTTTCAATGAAGCAATATAATTTTGTTTCGACAACAATATATGCTGCTATAAACAAAAAAATCCATTTTACTACACACGACAAAACATTTGTAAACAACAAGCAATGCCTAAACTTTGAGTAAGCAACAAAGAGAACGAAATTATGAAAAAAATTTATTATTAATTACAATACTCAATTTTTTTTTAGAAATTTGAAAAATTGCCTTTTCAATACAGTGGAGGTTTTCAGATTTTTATGAGGATCTTTTAGGGCTTTAAATATCGATTAAGTTAATTTTTTTTCAAAATATCCTTTCTGAATAGTCGTTGCATCATTATTTTTTGTTTTGAGTTAAATTTAAGTTTAAAAAATTAAAAATCAAAAAATCAAAAATCAAAAATCATCAATTAAAATCATCGTTTATACATTTTTTTTACCTTAGTTATGATGAATATCTGAGACAATCCTGCTTCATTAAAATCATATATATTTTTTTTCGGAGTGCGACGCTGAAAAAATAACTATTTGAAAGAAGTGTTTTTATGATAATCATATCATACAGGGGCGGGTCCAGGATTTTCTCGAGGGAGGGGTAGATTTTGAAAACAGTATCGAAATTTTCGTCAGCTCTTTTTCATTTTTTTAATATAGTGAACCATATTGATTTTCCGAGCTCTCCCAATTCTTTAGCAAAATCATTCCTGTTCTTACCAAATTTTTTGCGCCGCAAGCAAAATTTTATACAAACAGGCCAAAAAAGGCGTGTTTAGGTACTCTTTGGAAGTTTTGACCAAAAAGTTGCGTTTTTTGGCGCGCAATCCCCCCTTAAAGTTAGTATATATTGGCGTCTTAAAAAAATTCAAAGTCAGTCAGCCAAAAATGCATATCTCAAAAAAGTACAAAAGGGGGACCCTTTGGGTTGGCTGAGGGTCGAATTCTTAAGGGGGTCGATTCCTTGAGGGAGAAGCCCCCCTCCCCCCCCCGCTAAATCCGCTAATGATGCCATAAAACCAGCTCCAATCTTCGTCTGTGATAACAACCAGAAACTTTTGGAAAATCGAACAAAAATGACACAAAATCTAATCGTGCTTCATTTTATAGGATCGCTGGATTGCTGTCAAATCGAGCTTGCAATTAAAGCCCGAACTGTCCTTATACTCTAATAGTTCATCATAACTTGTAATGTTTTTTTTAAAAATTTCTTTCAGCTTCGGACCAGTCTGAAAGGTCAAACCTCCTTCCCCCATCATCAGCATCATCATCATCTAAGAAGAAGCCACGCCAGTCAGCCTCTCTCTCAATCAACTACGAAGACAGTATGCACTGGACAAAGAGAAGTTTCGACAAACATCGCAAAGTAAGACATTTATTCATTATTGTATAAAAATTTTTGGCTGGAAAGTTATGGCTCAAGGAAGTTGAGGAGGAATTTCGGGTTTGGGTTAAATTATCGGCATACTTTCTCTTCTTGAATACGAGTTTGGTCAAATGTGTCAAAAAAACTTCTGTTCACGTCTGTTTATTTCAGTCTATATCTCGGATGACTAAACTGATCAAACAGAGTCGTGTCGTGTCACTACCCCCCGAGAGTCCTCATGACGTCACAATTGCAGCTGGCGTTGATGAGTCATCGCCCACTCCAACAACGCAATCGGGAGCCTTAAGGTCAGTAATTATGAATTACTTCGTTATTTTTATTAACTGATAGTCTTGGATCATTTATATACAAAACAAAAATTTTACTGGGGAGGCACGTGTCGAAAAAAACACAATTTTTTGGTCAAACTTTCCAAAACAGGGTCCCGTTTTTTCGAAAATCAGACTTTTTTGCTAATTTTGCTCAACTTAAAGAAACTAAGACGCTGTTTTTAAGAAAGCGAAGTTGTTTTTTGGAAACCCCCATGGAAAATTCCAATTCTATTTCCAATGCTTTTCTCATAACAAAATCTCCAATTTCGCTATGCGGTTGAACATGCTTGCAACGGAGATTCGAAGCTAGTCGGTTTTTCTTTCAGGTCATCGACCTCCCCGAATGTCACCGAGCGCGAAGGAGACGACGAGAGCTCGGAAGCCCGAGCAGTGGAAGCGCCTGAGACGTACCCTTTTGTTCGGAAATTAAGTGGGAAAACAAGCAGCAGCAGTCGGAAAAACGACAACAATAAAACATGGTTGTCGCTTTCCGAAGAACACGGGGACGCGAATAACTCCGACGGTGGTCATACAATTACACCTCCGAATACAATAGGCGTTGCCGAAAACGACGAAACCGATTGCGAAAAAAATACGGGAGATCCGGAAAAACAAATTAAAACAAACACAACAATAGCTTCTTCATTAGGAACGAATTCGAATCAACCAAATGTCGTTATTCAAATTGAACCGGTTACAGATGCATCTGAAGATCATAAAATAATTGAACTTGAAGATCCTGAAACGAGTGAAAAGATTAATCTATTAATCTGTTCAAAACAATACAGTAGTTTAGAAGTGGACCGAAAGCCGCTCGAGAAAAAACAACGAAGTTTAGATTTGCATAGCACGCAGGGGTTTACTGTTGTCAATGCTCGGAATTTGAGTCATAGTGATTCGAGTATTCTGAAACCTGATAATCAAAACCGATTCTCGACAATCAAACTTTTACCGTCTAGTAGTTGTGATTATGAAACAGGAATAACACATCTCAACATTCCATTCGAAGAGTCGTGCTGAATTTTATCAATAAAAATTGAATTTTTCTTATTTTTAACCCCAATTTATGTTTACTTTTTCACTTTCCCCGCGTGCATTGTCTTACTTTTGTACACCAAATTCCCAGTTCAACGATTTTAAACAAATAATGAATTATAGCGTTAACTTTCATAATTTACCGAGCATGCTAATACTTTCAGTTTATGCTTTCCTTTTCACTTTTTGATAACCTCAATTTACCAGAAACGATTTGTAAGTTCACCATTTTGATTTTGAAAAATGTTTGTTAATAAAATTTATGTTGCGTTTTTTCAAATTCCAAAAAAAAAATTCTTATTTTTATCACAAATCAAGAGTAAAAAAAATCCGAATTTTATTCATCTGTTTTTGCAATTGATAATAAACACTAAACACTAGTATAAAGAATACACAAAACTAGAGCAGATAACAGTAGTTAAAACAGAAATCGCTCACCAAATAAATTTACAAAAAAATGGCCTTCAAAAATATAGAAACTTGAGTGAAGTACTTTCAAAACGCATATTTTTGTACATACAGTGAGCTGTTGCTTTTTCAAAGTCATTTTACTTAACCGAAATTTGTGCAAATATAGGTAATGAAATTTTATTTTTCAGTTCTTAATATGGTAGGACCGCATAATTGGCACGGCGACAATTCGTTTCAATTAGAAAAAGCAAAAATTGTCGCTTGCGACGAATTATCTTCTCGTCGAATAATTAAAAGCCAATCAGAAATGAGTATTCAAAATGGCAAACATTTAAGATAGAGCAGTCAATCCATTGCAATTGCTGATTGGTCACATACAAAATCAGCAGACAATAATTCAATTGGGCTGATACGTTTTGCGAGTTTGTTAGAATTCAGACACGATTTTTTAACGAAAACTCCAGGCCAATTTGCTTTCGGTTTTCTACACAAAAATGTTTCTACGATTTTGATTGTTTAAAAACGTTTCATCAATTTACCCCTTGATATTGAGAAAAGCCAACGAAAAAAAATAGATTGAGCATATTGATGAGCAGACAAGTTGGAAATAGTGGAGTTTTTTGCAGAACTGCGTGCAGAATTTTTGCAGAAAAGTTTGCTGAATTGTGTAATGGCGAAAAAATGAGCCGACTATGTGTATAAAATTCGCTCTTTTTCATTCAATATTTATTATAAACGTTTTTACCTGAAAAAGTTTTTGCCTCGATTCATCTCCGTGCTTGTTTTGAAAAAGAGAACAGAAAGTTGTTTCTTTTTGAGAAAAAGTAAATTAATACCTGCACTTAATTTTCAAAGATAATAATTGATTATTTTGTCATTTTAAAGTCAGTATTCATGAAATTACAAAAGTAATCGATTAGAATTTATTAAAAATGGATTATAATTCTAATGTTTTTATATCAGTTAAATCCATTACAATTAATTATAATCAACTATAAACCATTAAAAATGGATTATAATCATATCCGCCATTATAAGCCATTATAACCAATAATAATCGATTATAATGGAGTTCTTGAGATGTTATTGGTAAATTTTGCCATTTTTGCAAGATCTCACTTCCTGTTTAGAGCAGTTTCTACGGATAACGTTTCATAAACTTAAACTTTTCAGTACTCTATGAAACTGCATAAGTGAAAACTCAAAAAAAATGTTTCAAAATTGTAAGTTTTTATCCAAAAACACAATAACTGAGGATTGCTGTCATAAGAAAACCCAGAGTGTAAGTGGCAGTTACCACGCAGATAAACTGCAGCTGGTGATATTAGCCAAGTAAGTTAATGTTAGCTTTTTCACTCAGAGTTATACACTATAAACGTAATTTTCTGTACATTGCTAAAAAAAAATTAAAAATTTTGGTGGTTGAGGAAAAGGTTTACTTTTCAACAATTTAGGTTTATCTTAGCATATTAAGAATAAATTTTTTTTTTCAGAAAACACTTGCTTGTGGTTGTGTTTTTTGGTAAAACATCAACCTTGACTACGTTGTAGACACAAAAGAAAACTTTTTGCGTGCAAAATTTTTTTTCGTAAAATGTTAATTTGTGCACAGAAGTGACGAGCTTGCAATCAGAAAAAGATAACAAATTTTTTACCTCAAAGTTGTAATTTTTCTACTTAAAAAATGCATATCATACAGTTTTCAAAGTGAACTTGTATGATGAACATTTTTTTGATGCAAAAATGATCTGATATAATCAAAACTGTCACTCATTTGTTATAGTTGAGTCTTAAGTCGGTTTAAGATACTTTTCGCATATAAAGTTTAGATTGAAAAAATGCTTTAAAGTTTAGATTGAATAAACACTTTTTCCATAGACTCCATTTAGAAAGTTTTTTGATAAGTAGTTTTTTGTATGGACGTCATTCCAGGTAATGAAGAAAAATAGCATCTTGTTAAACGCAAACTTGAAAAAACTGCTAGTAACGGCTCAAGTTCCTTGCGACTGTCCTATAAAGCTTAACTAATTTGAAATGTGTTCTGAGCTGAAAAAATAGAGATTCATTTACAAATTGCGAGTCAGGCTATTTCACTTAACCTATACGGGGCAACGTTTTTTCACTAAACCCCCTCATATTCATGAAAAATAAATAACAAAAAAAACTTAGAAAAAGGTTGAACTGAGTGCATTGATGTCTTTCAGTTTTGATAGAAAAAAGTTGTCAATTAAGTAAATTATACAGTCAAAGATATTCTCAATAAAAAACGCTAGTCATGCGCAGTTCGTCATTTTATTCGAAGGTTGTAGCAAAACAACTTTGTCCATTTTAATTTGTGACTGATTACTGTTTTGATGATTTTTGCTGCTTCACAATAATCAACTATTCTTGTTAACAAACAGCTATTACTCACTAGTGAGTAATAAAGCATTCGAATTTCCTATTTAGCCCTAACAAGTTGCCTCAAATAAAAAAAAACAAGAAGTAATGAGAAAAAGTTAAGCTTTTGTAACTGAAATACAACAATAAGAAGCTCAAAATAAAAAAAAATCAAGTTCGGCAAAAGATAAAATCTGAAATTCAATTTCAATACGCGAACTTAAAATACAACAATGATAAATTTTAACTATAAAAATACAGCATAACAAGACTGCTCGTATATCAGAGCGAAACCCCGGTCGTTTCTTTTGCCCTCGATCGTGAAATTTTTTTGGTTTAAAAACAGTTTTGTAAAAATTTCGGAAAAGATTAGAACAATTGGAAATTGAAGCGAACTTTCATCTGTGATCTTTTTTCGTTAAGTTATGAGGGAATCAAGATTGCCATTTTTTTAAATCGCGAAGTGAAAAAATTCTATTACTATGTTTTCTATAACTTGAGTTCTTTGTAGAAAGTTTATACTTTATGCTATGAGGCGCTTTTTCGTTTCTCATTCATTTGTGTTGTGTTTACTTTTTAAATGCATTCAAACTCTAACTCATTTCTAAAAATTGATTGCGTCTCAAGACAAGATCAAGCTATATTAGGCGTTTGTCAATTCGGGAGTGACTACCGCCGAAGAGTGAAGATAGGTGACGAGCCTATCAGCATGTGTGTTGCTTAGCATTCCCATGTAAAACACTGTAGTTTGAAGACTCGTTTTTTCAAGCTTTTTTTACTCACAATTGCAATTTTTATCAGGTTGTACTTAGCTAAGACTTTAGATAGGCAGAGTTGAATATTTTGTTGTTCTTCTGAATCCACACCTAAATGGAGCAGTTATCGCGTGCTAATAGGCACACATGCTAATCGCTACATCCCCGTGAAAATAGAATCAAGAATTACTGTCCCTGTCTATTTAAGCTTTCCCGGCTGGAGGTGTTCGAGTTATGTTTCGACCCCATCGACCTAAGTGAGCTATGTTTCGACCGACTGGACAAAAAATGGCCATATATCGAAGGAATCAACCCGAACTGGCTATGTTTCAACCGACTCGACTGAATTACCGACATGTTCGACTGTGCTCGCCCAAGAGTGCTATGTTTCGACCGACTCGAACCAAATTGGCAATGTTTTAACTAACTCGACTGAATCGAAAAAGTATTCGACTGTGTTCGTCACAAGAGTGCTATTTTTAGACCGAATCTACCCAAATTAGCTATGTTTCAATCAATTCGACTGGATCAAAAAAGTGTTCAACCGTGTTCGTCACAAGAGTGCTATTTTAGACCGAATCTACCCGAAATGGCTATGTTTCAACCGACTCGACTGACTGAAAAAACTTTCGACTCTGTTCGACCCAAGAATGTTATTTTTGACCGACTCTACCCAAATTGGCTATGATTCAACCGACTAGACTTCAAAACTTCAATAAAGGTTTGATATACCAGAAAGAAACTTCCGATATTGTCACACCCAAATTATAAAAAAAAACCTGATTTATCTAAAACAGGTTTAGACTTCAAGGTGTTCGACTGTGTTCGACTGTGTTCGATCGACTCAAGAATGCTAATTTTTGACCAACTCTGCCCAAATTGGCTGTTTCAACCGACTCCCATTACGAAGCCAAACTGTGCAGTTTGTGCATTGTAAGCGGATTCCGCAACAAGGACGCTGCCTTTGTTCTTCTTTTGTTATTTACTTTCCTTTGATCGTTCCGACAAAATTTTTACATGTTTAAAGACTTGTCTCTGGAATCCAGGAACATACAGACACAAAATTGTGCTCCTATCCAGTGCACAGTTTGGACTCGTAATGCCACTAAATTAAAAAGTGGTTCGAAGTTTTAGACCCAAGCGCGCTATGTTTCGACCGACCCGACTCAAGCTGACCAGGATTCAAGCGACTTGACTGCAGAAAAAATGTGTTCAGCTATATTCGACTAAATCCTGCTATGTTTTGACCAGTCTGTATAATTTATGCAAATCAAAAGTTGATAAACCTTGATTTTTTTTCAATACCAACTAGTATAATACGTTGAATATATTTATTCTGAAATGTCTAAGCCTGTTTCAGATAAATGAAGTTTTTTTCAAATTTGGGTGTGACAATTTTTTTAGTACATCAAACCTTCATGCGTACTTACTTTTTTTCGCGAAAAACTTCTTATCGGGTTGTTGTCTAAGATCAAATTTTTTTTGTACATCAAACCTTCATTACTACTTAATTTTTTTCGCAAAAAACCTATTATCGGGTTGATGTCTAAGATCATGTGCAGCCTATTCCTTGAGTTCGACTGTGATTCGAGACTGTGTTTGACCGTTTTTCGGTTACACTTGGTCGAACACAGTTTCGAAAGATAGTCGACCTCAAAAATTGAGCCACAGACG